GGGTTCTACTAATGTAAACGTATCATCAACGAATCTTCGCCAAAGTCTTACACCATTTTTGTACAGATCATCATGCAGAGACTCTTCCAAGTGTATCATGAATATATCCGCAATGGTCCCTGCCAAAATGTCCCTCTGAACTAGACCTCGCAGCTGTACCTTCATCCACCTACCACCATCGAAACAGTCAGTGGAAAGTCCTGGCCATAAGCCGATCCTCTTAGAAAGGTGTTACTTCTATCCATTTAACTGAAACATAACCATAACCGAAACATCATTAACCTAGTTTAAGGTCGCTGCGGACCTGTAGTTTAACGTCGTTGCGGACATAAATGTCAATGCCGTAAAATGAGAAAATTATTTTCCAAAAGACGGTATCAATACATAGTCCATTATATGCAGTTTTTTGCGGCGATTCCGAATATGGTATTATATTTGAATAAAAATGCTTTCTTGTACGAGAAAACATCGAAATACCTTGAAAATCCTACGGGTTTTTTGAAAATCCATATCTGCACTTAGAACAATAGGTGAGATTAGGTGAGGCTGCCACAGATAGAGTATTGACTGAGGAATGTTTTGATGTAATTAGATGTGCTTTTGGAGTCCGGCGTTCTCGGGCGATGCGACTATACTGAGGTGGTCTCATGTACGAGTGAACGATGAAGTATTGAAGAGCTGTTACATATTGAATTTGAAAGTAAAGTATATATATTTTGATATCAATAGATAGCTGAAAACATACTGATTCCGAATATGTGCTTTGAAATCATTAAACGTAGGTGTATAAAGAAGAAAACGGCGTTTTGTGCATACGTATGATGTTTTGGGACCTTCCTTTGTGGCCTGATTTCTCCACGAAGAAGTGAAAATCACAATAGACATTCATACATCATTCGATAGAGAATTGAAAGGGCTACATTTTGCACTATTTATCTTTGAGAAACGAGCAACTTTAAGTTTTTGCCTAATTTCCGCCTGGATGCCCACTGTGCTCTTGGTAACAATAGGCATACTTATCGTTAGTGCTGGTTTCAATGGTCATTTTCTTGTACCTCAAATATTCGGACGATTACCAGCGGGTGTTATGACAGTATGTGGTGCCAGTATGGTTAATCCCAACTATTTCCAATTTTTCCGTCGAACGTGGCCTATTTTATTCTCTTGCCTTCAGATTCTTATTCCCGGTATTATTTTGCTCATCTTCTCTCTTGACACGTTTCGACGTTTGGGTCGAAATTCTCTCATTCATGATAAGGCACGTGCCCGGCGTCGTGCCTATCTTGACAAGCAAATGTTATTAATTATGCTCACCAATATTACATTGTTTGTGATTACTACTCTACCTGTAGGCTTATATAATATCTTGCAATCAACTGTACTTCATTCATTAATGACACAAACACAACAATTGCAACTTTTTTCCATATTTACATTTGTAGCCGGCATCAACTACACCATAGGTTTCTATTTACACTCTTTGACAAGTCCTCTATTTCGTCAAGAATTTATGCACGCAATCAAATGGGGACGGAGTGGTGATCGAGTAGTTCCAATAACGGAAACAGACATGATGGTGGGTACAGTACTCACAGTGACACGAGTGCACAAATGACAATATGGTCGTACGCGCGAGTATAGAAGAAAAATTAGTCCGAAATTCATGCTTGCTTCGTACAAAATATACCCGTCGGTTAAGTGTTAATTGTTGGCTTTCCTGCTCAACCAATCCGGCTATAGAATATTGATATAATTTAGTGTCGTAGTTCTTGAATATATTTTAAACTGTATTACAAAAAATTACTCACGACAATTAAGTAACGCAGTAACAATGGACGGAGGGCCTTTTTCTGGATAGTGCTCAATTACTTGTCACCAGCGCCATGAATTCTCCATCCTCGCCCAATTCAGTAACTTCCAACAAAAACTTTAAAAACAAATATAATAGTTCTTGAACAGTTTCCTGACATATCAGGCAAGGCGAGAGGTCGCGTTAACGAACGCATACTTGTTTGTTTTCATAAATAGTTTGCGAGAAGGCGCGTGGTTCTTGACGAAGCATTGTACTCGACATACTGTACATGTAAAATGTGCTTGAGTAATAAATGTATGAAATGAAAATGGTCAACAGTTGAGAAAATGTTTCTATGGCTACACGTAGTTGGGATTTAACAATGCTGGAAGTTGAAAATAAATAAAGATTCATTATCGGTACGGCGCTAGTGCTGAGAGCGAACATTGCTACTTGAACTGCCAACATAACGGCGAGTTGTCTGTCCTTGCGATTCACAAGACTTGCTCTCCGTGTAGGCACAATTCGCTGACGCCTCCGCTTTGTTTTATGCAAGGTTAGCAGAGTGAAAAAAATCATCAGAAAATTTGAACCTAAACTTTCCAATATTATCAAGATGTTGATGAAGAGTTGACATGCACTGTTTATGGTGACACATTGTAATGAAGTACTGATTGAAATGGAATCGTAACAAACGAGCGAACCGGTCCATATATTCATTGCTACGAGGATAGCGATCAATATACAACGATGAGAATTTTCCAGGTTACTAAGATTTCTGTAGTTGACCATTTGACAGCTGCATAGAAAACGGTCGATACAAGCACAGAGATTGAGCCAACTCGATATAGTTAATAATGTATAAATATATGTTGAACTTTAACTTACATACGACAGCAAAATGAGACGTAAAGTCTTTATCAAAACTGATAAATATACGTACGATTAATGCGAAATATAATATAATGAGATCAACAATGGTTCCAGCGAGAAGATATCGAGCGAGATAACTCGTTTGGAACGTACCACGAGTAAATATCGCAATGTTAAAGGCTACTTGGCTGATTGTGAGAGAAAAGCTAATTGTCCTAAGCACTGGTAATATTCATGATCCGTGAATAAACAATAAATCTGATATAGATCTTAATTTGATGGTAAAGTTCGGTAGTGGTGATGACGTGTTTGCAGAGAGACAAAGAATTTTCTATATGTTTTTTAGGGTGTATGAAAACTTTGATAATGATTGTCATACTGCGATTGTTTCCATTTTCTAGTAAATTTTATGTAAAAAGAGTTGCCTGTTCTAGCTTTTTACAAATTTGTATTTTATTAGTAACATCCTGATGTGTGATTCTCATAGGTTTGCTTTTTTGATATTTTAATCTCTCTACGTTACTTTTCTAACTCATATACTTTTGTAACGCTGTGAAGCTTCTTTAATCCTTTTTATAAGAAATAGAACATTACAAAATAGAACATTACAATGTCGACTTTACATATTATATCAGTGTACAGTTATCATTCAGTTTACAGTCATCTGTTTAGTTTGATTCATAAGATGCACGTAAAGCAAACTTCGAGTGAAATTTGTTTTTGACTTTATTATACACATTCTGATTTGTAAGATGACGGTGTTCCCGAATATCACCTTCACAGCCCTTAAAACCCCTTTCGTCATGGAGAAAATCACAAAATACTGAAAAGATCTCGAAAACTCTAAAATTTTTCATTTTCGAAAAAGTTTTATAGTTTTTTCCCTTCATGGTTTTGAGACTCGAGCTTCCTATATTTGGATTCCTTGTTCAAAACTGAATCTACCCAGGGTATTTTTAAGCCTTTAAAGGAAAAAGTGGAAGTTTGCCAGAGTCGCAAACGTTTAAAGGTTCATTCTCGAGGACCTCTGTTTACAAACCCTACCCGTTTTTTGTGTGAAGGACTAGACGTTTGATTCACACATGCTTAGATCACCCATCAAACGAGCTTTTTTTTAAATTCGTTTTTTCTGTGTCTGGCTTTTCCTCCCAAAATCTTGTAAACCATATAGCCCGATAGAGCAAAGAATTCTGAACAAATCAGGATATCTCCTAGCTGTCTGTAACGCGTTTTCATCGGAATATTTAGGTAATTTTCACACCCTTTGTAGCCGTTCGTAAATCGGGTGCAGTTCGGTGAAAACGCGTTATAGGCAGCTAGAAGGTATCCTGGTTTGTTCAGAATTCTTTGCTCTATCAAGCTATATGGTTTACAAATTTTTGGGAGGAAAAACCAAAGACCTGGCTTTCTAGCGGTCAGGTTTTCCAGAAACCCTATTATCAAGTTTTCTTATAAAATGGCGATATGAACCTCATCTGACAGAAAAATCTTCTGGTTATTCAGCACAGTGTTCAGTTTTGCTCCAGCTTTGCCTGCAAAATCAAAACAAAGGAGTTCTTATGTTTATGACACACTGTGCTGCATATATAACACCCAAACGCTTCCTTCGCATATCTTTAATGACTGACCCTAGCAGTCTAGATATTCTGACCAGCTCACTTTGTAGACATTTTCACGGGCTATCCAATGGTATCCTTTTGCAAAATATATAATTTTTCATTTTGGGAGGAAAAATGACTGAAGAAGTGTGCTGCATGTGTTTTTCGTACTCCAGCGCTTCTTTTGCACGTCTTTGCCGATTGGCCCGACCAGTCGAGACATGCTGACTAGTTCAACTTGTAGAGAATTCCAAGGGCCATGAAATTTCGTTACGGACGTAGTTTTGCTCTTTTCTCCGATCCAGACATTTTCAGACAAAAACAATTAGATAATCTGAAAGCCCGAAGAAAATTCTACAAGTTTCATTCAAAACAAGGTCTTCCTGTGATGTTTAATTTTAGAGAAATTATCAGAGTTCTAAAACCTCCGAAAAAAACCGTCCATTTTTGGAAATTTCGTTACGGCCTTCATTTTGCCTACAACTTTTGATCGGATGAATGAAATCTGCTCCGAATTTTCTATGTAGCAGGACCAGACGGCTACACATTTGATAAAATTCCTCTTTTATCTATTTCGTGCTTACCGAGATAGAGGGCGCACAAGTTAGAAAAATTACATTCCGTTACATTTGGACAAGCGATTTTATAATTATTAATATTTTATTATACGCTTGTTTTTATCGAAAGTTAAATTGATGAAATCAATTTTATAACTTACTAGTTATGTAGCAGATAGACTATTTACTTGGACAAAATGGATGAATAAGGTTAACATCGAGTCGTTGCACAACTTCAATCGTTTCGCAGAATATAGGTGAGAACAGCGGAGTTGATTCTTGTAGTTTCGCCTGCAAAGATTGATTTTGTGTTTTGATAGTTGACGAAAGAGAACAGTATTACAAGACTTTATATATTCAGCTTTCGTACTGGTTCAACAAAAGGCTTAACTCAAACATCGGAGATGTTACAGGTTGCGCCTCTGACATGTTCGTCACGAGATTAGGGCTGTGACAATTACCATTAGCGTTACAGTAACTGTAACTGCTGAACAGTTGACGTTCTTGGTAACGGTAACGGGTAAGCAGTTACCGTACAAGTAACGATAACGACCAGTTACAAGTAACGGTAACTGTTCAGTATA